TTCAAAAGTGAGTATTGCCAATTTAACAGACTGCCTCAAAACAGGCAGCCTGTCACTGAAACTTGTATGCTAATGTCCACACTTAATAACTGTAGTGTAGCTTTACGCTGGCATAGAGCTGCAGTATGTGCCCAGGCAAATCCAATTGTAGGTGCTGGCTCATGTTTCAACCCTGTCCACTCTGTAAGGCCCATGTCAGACTCCTTTTCAGGGATCGCTTACAGTGCCACCTTTTGGGATTCCATCAATACCTTTGTATGTCTGTTGTATTTCAGGTTAGACCATTTAGTAGTCCTCTGGGATTTCTATCTAGAACACTGAAATATAAGCCATTGTAATCTGTAGAAATTAGCATGTGTATGTTAATTCCTGTATGCATAACTCCTACCTGCATGGTTACCTTACCTTTAAATAATGTGCTCAAAGGAAGAATGTTATCAATAATGTATTTTGCACATGTGTTCCTCAAAACACCAATAATGACTGACACAAATAAACAAGTCAGTGGCTTTTACTACATGTGGACTTAGGTTAGACAAAGCATACACTTCCACTCTGTTCTGTGTATTGATGAGCTGTGCCTTTTCCATGTCCAGGCATTCAGAATGGAACCAGCGGTTACAGTTATCACACTGAATCTGTGAACAACAAATACATGAGTTTTCATAAAGACATAAAGTAAATAAGTACATAAATAAAATAATTTGAATCAGAAGCAAATATGTCATCCTAGACAACAAAGCTATTTTTAAAACATTGTACCCAGTCAGTGATGGAGGGTCCTGGATTGGGTGGTTTCACTGTTGCACACATAACACAGTTGTCACTGTTGAATACTAATACATGGAAAAATATACATATATGTTAGTGTTCAGCAGTTTGACACGAATAAATAAATGAAACTTAAAGATGTTACACACCTGAGGCCTCAAGTATTGTCTGCGGCAATGTCCTTTGTGCCTGGCCATCTCTTTTTTAGTTGTCAAAATGTAATTTCAGGTTTCTTTGGGAATGCGTCCATTACAAACAAACAAACAAAAATAGAATTAAAGTGAAAATATCAGTACAGCAGGTACAGTTTCTGTTGCATGATAAAAGTTACACACAAAATGATCCTTCTCTTCTTTTTCATGAATCAGACAGACACATGAATGAATCTCAACATGTTTTTGAAGCTGTGTGAGAATGCCCTGTGATCTATATTATGTTACATGAAGTTAAAATACATATGTTCTTTTAAATCTACAAATTGTGCTAATGTCTTTCTCCTTAAGCATTGTAAGGGTATTTTTATTTTTGGAAATTGCTTGTGTCTAGTTTGGAAATACTTGTTTAAATAACTGATAACCATGGATTTTATTACCCTTTCATCTCCAACCATATGTTCAAATATAGAAACAGATGTCCTCCATAAACAGGTGAATGCCCTATTCAGATACTAATCCTTTGTAATTCATGTAAGATGACTGTTTTCTAACAATTCTTTATTCATCTTTAGTGCAGTTTATTAAGCTACAAATTTAAAAAAAAATTATGTTAGAGGGCAGTCTGTGTCACGCAGTTCGAAAGCACCTTTAGATAAAGGCCCTTGGTCCTGCCACTTTTCTAATGACATCACAGAATACCTAATATTTTGTTATAATAATAAAGACGTAAATAATGCATAATTACCAGAATCTTTGGGCTACCCGGTCAGACTCTTCCTGCTCCAAAGACTTTCTTGAAGGATCGACCAAATACAGAGAGCTGTCATTGTACTGTGATAGATCTAGTTTTTAAAATTACATAAATTATGAACACTGTTAATGGAAAAAAAAAATTAGTGTAACAAAAATGTTGCTAGTACTAACCAGACTTCCGGTGTATATTTCCAATGTGTACAAATGATACAATGGCTTTGTAGTTGTCAAAGTTCACCTGTGACACATTAGAAATTCATAACAAATCTGCAGAAATACTTTTTCCATTTATTTAAAGACATTACAAAATTTCCAAAATCAGAAATCTCTAATATATGAAATAAAAATTTACCTTGGACAAACTTTGTCTCCTGATGATTTCTATCGCTCCAAAGATCACAAAATAAAAAGCAGGTATGGAGGAGATCAAAACTCCAGACATCCAGAGGCCCCCAGGACACAAGAGACCAAGGAAGACCAACAGAGGGGCAGCCACGCCACTGTCCCAGAAAGAGCTGAGGAGAGTCCCAGATGAGGGCTCACTCAGCAGCCGCGGAGCAGAAGCCAGGGGGACTTGCAGTGACGTGCCCGTGAGCTCCGCTAGCAGCCAGCTGTGCCTGAGTGACCGAGCCCCAGGCCGAGAGGCCGGGGGCACCCCACCTCCGAAGTGGCCCGAGCGAGCCCCAGGCTCCAGGCCCCGATAAGCGGCCGCCAAGGAGTGAGCCGGTGTGTACCTGGACGCCCATCCCCGGACACAAAGAACCACCAACGCACCGATGTCTGAGGGAGTCCGCCACCGGCAGGGGAAGTGGTGGTAGGGGGAGATAGGCCTCCAAACCTTGGAGGGCCTGAGATGTCCCCAGAGAGGTGGCGCCTGACACCCAACCTGACATATAGACACAGACATACAGGCACACACAGATACAAACATCCATTCCCACCCTCATGCTCTCATATGCACTTACTCCACACTCAACCAACGTGGAGACAGACATAAAGAGACGCTGTACACACGATCACACTCCCCAAGCGTACTCTACAAACCGGGTCTAGGTACCCTTGCCCCTGGAGGGGGAACTGCACCCAGACCCAGGTGGTGTTACCCTTTTCCCTGCGGTGGGGAGAGGCAGACCGCCCCGACTCCGCAGCAGCAGGGAGGCCCCACACTCCAGACCGCAGTCGGACGGCCAACTCCTCCTCCTAGCCCCCCCGCTCCAGCAGGTCGCAGAGAATGTGGGTGAGAGAAGACTCCAAACCTCCCTCCACCCGCTCATTGTAGTGTTGATGCATGTGTGTTCTAAGGTGCATTTAAAACCCAGGAGGGCATGGAGCTACCTGCCAGAGAGCAGCAGGTAAGCGCATGGTCCCTCCTGCTAGCCCTCAATGACTAAGTGTATTTAACCTTGAGAAGTGGGCAACGACGCCAGGGGTGGGGTGTACACCCTGATGGTACTTTGGACTCCGTGTATCGTGCCCACCCCCAAGATCCTATATGTATGTGTAATGAGAGTGTGAGTAATGTGAATGTCTAAGTTGTGGGATAAAATTGAGGCAGAGGCAGCCAGAAGGGGACGGGGGGGGGGGGGGGGGGGGGGGGGGGGGGGGGGGTAGCCTCCTCTGCACCCTGGTGACATACCCCTACTCCAAGGTCCTGCATGTGTGGGTGGTTGTGGTGGAGCAGGAAGAGGGAGGCAGCTGGAGATGGGGAGGGAAGGAAGGGAGGGGCAGGTGACCCCTCCCTGGGGCCAGCTCCCCTGCTGACCCCAGTAGGCACCCCCATACTCCGCGACCCGCCAGGGAAAGGGGGCACAGGCCCATCCAGACCGGGGCCCAGTGCAGCAGCGCCTCCCGGCCCCACAGAGCCCGGGACAGTCCACCCAACCCCACCACAGAGAAAACTGCACCCACCCCACCATCCACTCATCTTCCAGACTACATAAGACAATAAACACCCAGGCTGAGATCTTCCTCCACCTCTCCTGTATCTCCCCCTCCTGCAGAGGGAGCTCCTGAGGAGAGGAAAGCTCCTGCAAGATGTGACCATCCCCCCCACCAGTTGAAGAGCCCCCCAGGTGGCTCGATGCACCGGTGGCACCCTCCTCCTAGGGCTGGGCCCCCATGCACCCACCCGCCCACAACCCCGGCAACACACCAACCAGGACCCAAGCCCCCGAGGCCCGGCCCGGGCCCCAGCCCAGAGACGGAGCGCCCCCAGAACCTCACGCCCATCCCGGACCCACCCAGGGGAAGCCAGGCTACCAGGTCAGTAACCCACGTCCATCAGCACAGACCCTCCCCTAGCCCCGCTGCACGCAGCCGCGAGGAAACAGTCACCTGAGAGCCAACAGAGCCCCCAACCGGGCATGACCGCTACCCCGGGTTGAGCCCCCCAAGGAAGATGCCTCCGGGGAACCCCCCGACGCCCTAAGCCTGTCCCTACCCCCACACCAATCACAACAGTGAAGGCGGGACCAAACTATGACCTCCCACCCCCACTAGGTGATGGAGCTGATCAAAGGAGCCCAGAGCAATTGATCTGATGTGGTGGCAGAGGCTGTATCAAGACTAATGTAATCTAATAGATAATTTCTATATTGGTTAGAATTAAGATTATTTTTATTTTTCCAGTTCATGAGGACTGTTTTCTTGGCTATGCATAGGGCAGTGAAAACCATATGGGCGATATTCTTTTCTGAAGTGACATTATCTAAGCTGCCCAACAAACACACTAAGGGGGAAGTTGGAATGTTACATTTCAGACACTTCGATAAGTCTTCACATATCTCGCGCCAAAACTTCTGAACTGGTGGACAGAACCAAAGAGCGTGGATATAATTGTCCGGTGAATTGGTTTGGCAGTGTGAGCTGTTGTTGGTAGACGTAAAGCCCATCTTGAACATCCGATGACCTGTATAGTGCACTCTATGTAATATTTTGTATTGAATTAATTGAAGATTTTGTTTTGTTTTTAATACTAGGAGTACATACATCTCCTACAAGCCAGCTGTGTGGTCTAAGGGACAGGAGCTCACTGTGACATATGATGAAGTCGTTACCTCTAATTTGAGACAGGACCACAAAGACAACTTCTGTTTCATGGTGTTTCCACGAATATGTGAGCTGTGAGTCAACAACAGAAGAGTAATTTGTTATGAGTTCAAAAACTCATTCTTCTGAGAACATTCATTGTACCGTAATAGATTACAATGGTTTTAAATGTAATTTAAAAAAAAAAAAAAAGTACATCATGCAACAACAACAAAATATCTCCAGATTTTACATGATTACATAAATAAAGTCCAATAATTGAAATGCGTTTTATTTGTGATGTTAAACAAAATTCAGAAATTAATACTTGTCTCATTTACTCTTGTTCTTGTAAAACACTTTAATGCTGATATATTACACATAATATTTGTGGGGTGTGTTTGATTAGAAATCATAACAGCTGAAAAAAAAAAAAAAACAGTTTGAATCTATTTAATGACTGCTACTTTTTGTGGACTAATTTATCATTTTATTTTACTTTAGCAGTGGATATCATGCGCACTGTTGGGTCATTCTGCAGACATGGGCCTACCAAATGAATAAGCGTCATGCAAGGTAGTTTCCCTGCTTACCGCTACTTGTCCTGTCTTTAATTTGCCATTTTTGGCAAAGAAGACATTGCTCTCTGCTTTGATATTACATCCACCAGTGGCAAATAGTGCCTTTGTAAGTCTGCCCATGTGAGAAAGAGTTCAATTAGCAGCATTCACAATTGCAGCCATTTCGAAGGCACTGAAATCTCCTTTCCAAAATGTGACTGACGCTTTCTTAGCCATGTATGTTGCGGTTTTCTGGCAAACAGCTACTTGTTCCTGGCTTTCATCCTACAAAGACAGACATGTGACAATAATCAGACTCATGTACGATAATAACACACAATGGTAGACATAAAATAAACGTAAAATACCTGGTTTTAGACAATATCATGTTGTTTGAGCTGTTCCTGTTCCAAGGTTTTGACAGGAACCGTGGGAGTCGTGTCTTTCTCTGTTAACAAATAACATTTTTGAATGACTTCTTTTATTTTATAGAACGACGAAAGGATAATTGTGAGCTTAAAGAATTGAAAGTCCGGTTGTCATTTAATTCTTGAAATTAACGGAACATTAAAACATACCTCAGTTTTCTCTTTTTTCAGTGGCAAGCCTGTCACTAATGGTGACACGTACACACTGTCATGGCTGGCAGACCGTGGGGATGTGGGGAAATCAGGACCCACAATGCAGGACTCTGGTGCAGAAAACAGTGCGTTTATTGACAGTGCTGTGAATATTACACAATAGATCCCCGTGCGCTCCCCTGACTCCCTTGTCGTGTCTTTCTACACCCGAAGTCCGTGCTCTGTATTTTCAGCTCCCGTGTGTCCGCACACCCCGTGCTTGCTGCCCTCTCGTTTCCATGCTCCGCCTGGGGGGGAAATAACAGAGGCAGCTGTCAGGATACACAACTACAGCTTGCATACACTCAAAAGACTTTGCTCAGTAAGACAACTGACATGCCGTCTCACACAACAATCGCACATCAGTAGGAGCTCAATCACACCCTTAAATAGCTCCCCTGACAAGGCTGATCAACTGCAGGTGCGTGGCATCATCTTCAGGTGTGGCCAGCCACCTGGCAGGGCCACACCCACCAGGCCTGAAGGTGCCTGTAGCCCGGCCTACCGGATACAGCCGCACCCACACACAAACACCTGCCTATACATGTAAGCATGGAAACAGGGACAGCAGCATAGCAGCAACCATACATATAAGATATTATACAAGTCCACAACTGCTCACGGACCCTGGGTCACTCAGACTGTGTTTGTCTTTCCATTTCTCCATGCCTGTTGAGTATACAGACATACTTTTAATGCTTACAGATTCCATCACCAGTTGTTTCTGTACATAGGCAAATATTTTCACTGGTTCTGACTATGTTGCTCTATTTGTATAAAATATCATTTTTAGTAACAGGAAATTGTTCATACTTTCTTGATATTTTCATGTTTGCATATTCAAGAAGGAGGGCATCGTGCATTTTTTGATATATGTCAACAAAGTCATCAAGCCGTGTCAGTCTCCTTCTCTGGATACGGATTCTTTTCATATCCTACTGGCTTTTCTCCATGATTCGCTGGCTTCTGTTGTCTTGTGTAAAATGATGTAATGTAATAGTACATAGTGAGTTAAACAATCTATGTATTTCAATTTTATCTACAATTTCTGTTTCTTTTACACTTATTCTTCTCTTCATGATACCTGGTTCTTGGATTGCTGAATGTCACCATGGAGTTAATCAGGATCAGTACCATGACGTCCAAGATCCCCTGAGGAGCATCCAAATACTTCAGAAATATAAGTAACAAACAAAAGCTACTGACTGACAAATCTTTACTGAGTTGTCACTTTTACAGTTATTTATAAATGACAAGTTATAAAAATAATACAAAAAATAAAATGTACCGAGCATCAGTGCTGACCACAAAGTTGCATGTGGTAGAAGGTGATTTACCAGACCTGAAATACATTTCGGCATAAAAGAGGTTTCGTTCACCCTCACAGTCCAGTGTTGCACTGTCAACAATTTCCTGGAAATGGGTCTTCAAGGGGGCGTTCTGAACATCAGTCTGTAAAACTTATATATAATCAGTAATATCACAAAGCAAAAAAAATAAAATAAAATTCTTACTTTCATGCAATGTTAAATTCATTAAAGTATGTACATATGAAAGCATGTTTTCATAATTATTTCATTTTTTTAACAGATTATTGAGTTTTAAAAATACATTGTTATTTTTAATAATATAAAGTAATGAATTGTTATGGGACAGAGACAAATAAACACTTATTACTAATATTACTTTACTAATAAATATAAGTTAACTTTGTAGTCCTCAGCAATCACAGTCTTTTCATCCACATCTAGGGTCCCCCTTTTTTGCATAAGGAGTTTCAGGTTGTTGTAATGCTTTGTTATATTCCTTCCACTACAAGGACTGCGAAACACTACTGCTGCACTATGGACAACCTCATCCATGTCTTTTAAGTTAGCACAACATGCAAGCAGCCCAAATAGATGCATTCCAAGCCTGTAGTTCTCTGGAATGCTGGGGAAAGAAATAAATGGAATCACTGTTAGTAGTACCTTTAAATTAGAAATGTTATATTCTCAAAGAATTATTGATGTAAATGTGCATACTGTTTTTTACAAAGGTCCTTGGCATTTTTCATGACGTGGCTCAAATACCGATGAAGAAAATGGTAAAATGGTAAATGGCCTGTATTTATATAGCGCTTTACTAGTCCCTAAGGACCCCAAAGCGCTTTACATATCCAGTCATCCACCTATTCACGCACACATTCACACACTGGGAATGGGAACGTTGAATGTCTGTGATGAATGTTTGCCAGTGAGCAAGAGAAAGTTCTTCTGCAGCAGATCCTCACAACTTGTTCTGCAGAATGTGATGGAAATGGATCAGAGGAGTACTAGTGATCCATCACACATGAACATGACAGGCCTTTTGTAGGCCCGATTTACAAAAGCTCTCACCAGATCTGTTTGAAAGGCCTGCAAGAAGTATGTTACAGAGGCTGTAATATGGTCACACATGACATATGTAGCAACAGGAAGAGGAGGTGCACCTTTGGATGGGTTTCTGACAACCAATTCATACACATAGTATGGTGGCATTCCAGCACTTTCTTTTCTTACTATAGCATCAAAGTACACAATGTCTTCTTTGCATTGCTGATACAAACTGACAAGGTTTTTTTTGACCACCTATCCAGGATGTACTGTCACAGTTGGGACAGGCTTGAGCAACCCCTTTACCTTATATTGGATAAGCAGCTAAGAAAATGGACAAATTGACACAAATATAATTTGCGGATACAAAAAAGTATCAAATATATTTATATGTTAATACAATTAGAACAATAGAATCGAAATATATGATCTAAAAAGAAAGCATTCTCTTACGAAAGAAGGAAAGTCAACATCTGATTGTAAAGAATTAAAAACAGTGTATCTATTAATTACAGTGTCATCAGTTCACTGTGTTTCCGGATTCTTCTTTCTGTCTAATGATGAGCTCCTGGAGATTCTGCCACAGACCAAAGACCCCCTGTGTGTCCAACCCCACCTGAAGAAGTGTTTTAAAGGCATTGCGAAGCTGGAATTTACTGAGGACATGGCGATTACTGGCAAAATATCAACTCTGAAAAGGAGACAGTGCCCTTGACAGAGAAGATTTATCCAGCTCAAGCTAAGGTATACAGCAAAACAGTGTTAGCTAGTAACACAAAAAATGCTATTTTGCATATTTCATATATATAAAAAATAGATATCTAATTTACATTGTTTCACTTTTTTTTTTTTTTTTTTTTGCAGTTTTTCAGTTCACATAGTGCAGAGGCCATATTTTGTTACTTTTTACTGTTATCGCTTTTAGGGTATGGTGGGAAAATGGTTGGTCAGCTGTCCTTTTTTTCACTGGGATATGTGAAAAGAGTGAGGAAATTACTAAGATGGTCAGAGGCACCCCAAAAACTACAGAAGAGATCGTGACTGAGCTTGAAGACAGCAGAGTAAGTCTAAATAAACAGAAAACAGATTGAGGACCACCTTCAAACAAGGTAAGAAATGCAGCTTTACTGTCTGTTTTCCCAGCTTCTTTTTAATGTAAATACCAACAATTCAAACTGACTGCCCTGTCCCCATTTGACTGTTTCAGGGTCTTTAGCTTTAACCAGAGGCTGCAAGATGTGCAGAAAGAGATACTGGCTTTTAAGAAAAAGAAACTGATGAACATGGAGGAAATAAAGAACAATGTGAGAAATCTCACTCAAATCACTACCAACCTGGTGGACGCTGTCACTGAGCTGGAGGTCAGAGAGGCTACATTCTTACTTCCCTTAAAGTACACATGTTATCTTTTCATTTGGTAATGTAGCTTAAATAGTTTTTGTACCTGTTAAAACATAGACCTTTCTTTATCCTGTAAGGCCAGAGGGTGTTGTTGTTCTTCCTCCATACAGCATATCAACAAAGAACAGGCTTTGCTAGATATGGAGCAGACATGATTTCTTCATTCCCTCCTTGCTTATAGAATAAAGCAGCAGCACTACTGTTCATGTTGTTCCAACATTTTGCATGCAAAAATAGTGCCACTGTGACTAATGTGTAATTACATAAACATGAAACTCTGCAGATGGCTCACTCCTGCTGCTTTATAATGGATGCAGGTGTTTTACTTTGATTTTAATATTTGTATTTGAATGCGTACTAGATGTAATAATGGGGCACTGGCACTGCTAAAATTCAAATTCAAACATCTGTGGGATTAGCGTGCACTTCCGTTTAAAAAGCGGTCTGAGTAAGTGATATGCAAGCTCTGTTTCCAACAAGAACAAAATTACTTGACCTGCTTAAGCACAGCCTCAGGCAACGAAATTACAATATATTTATCCTTTTAGTGTATATTTTTCTGAATTTCCATTTTTATGCTCTTCCATGCTAATATTACAGTTATGTACATCTCTAGTCTTGTATTTATTCTTTAAGACATTTATCTGAATTTAGTCGTTGGTAAATTCTACATTAGAAATGCTATGACTATGAGATACAACAAAAGCTCATTTTAAATGCAGTTGTGTTATTCTTACTGATACTTTCCTAAATAGCAATGGGAGGACAAGCTGCAGGACGTATGCAGGACATACTAGATGCCATGTTGAAGTGTCAGGCTATGTGGCTCTACCTTGAGCCCATCTTCAGCTCAGAGGACATCGTTGCCCAGATGCCTGAGGAGGGACGCAAGTTTGCCATTGTGGACAGCTACTGGAACAATATCATGACGGAGGCGGTATAATCCCTATGACACTGTCAAAAGGCGTTTTAGTTTCTGTAATTGGATCTCGTGAATTTTGTTTCGAATTCTGTGTGATAACACTTTCCAGGTTAAGGATACGCGTGTGTTAGTGGCTACGGGCCAGCCCAACATGCTGGAACAGTTGCAGGAGTCCAATGTGCTTCTGGATGACATTCAAAAAGGCCTCAATACCTACCTGGAAAAGAAGAGGCTCTATTTTCCAAGGGCACTATCAGTAGCACTGATAGTACCTTCAGATATTTGATATTTCAGCTATTTTGACTCCCATTTGTAGGCTAAAATACACATTGACAGTCTATGTTTGCTAAATAAAATTAAAAAAAAAATAGAACTAACGTAAAGCAGAAGCATCTACAGTGCTGTAGATGCCTGTAGGAAAATCTTACATTAATACAGAAAAATAAATATGGAAGAGTTACTTAATTAATTTACTAATATTAGAAATACTGTTAAGGATCTTCTCAAGTGGCTGTTTCAGCTTTCTTTGTTCACTGTGTTTCCAGATTCTTCTTTCCGTCTAATGATGAGCTCCTGGAGATTCTTTCACAGACCAGATACCCCCTGTGTGTCCAACCCCACCTGAATAAGTGTTTTGAAGGCATAGCAAAGCTG